CTTGAGTATTTTTTCCTACCTTGTCTTATAGCTCACTGATGCAGTCCTCTGCTTCTTCTGGTCTACTGTTGATGCTTTCTATTGAGTTCTTTATAGCAGTGATATCATTTTTCATTTCTTCTTGGTTCTTCTTCCTTTACTCTTGGTTCTTACACATATTGTTGAATTTGTCTTCCATTCTTTTCATCCACCTTATGACCACTTCTCTGAATTCTTTCTCTGACAGGTTGCTTGCCTCCATTGCCTCCATTGCCTCCATTGCCTCCATTTCATTGACTTCCTTTTCTGGTGATGCCTGTTTTTCTTTCATATGCAGGCTGTTTCTTTGTCTCCCCATGAGACAGGTGTTTGTTTTTCCAGGTGTTTGTTTATGTAGTTCTCTCTCTGCTGCATTGATTTAATGGCACAAAATACAACACAAGGCACAAAGCACAAGGCACTGAATACAAATGTATTCATGATACTAGTAACCCCAAATAAAGGTGACCACCAGATCAAAGAGACTTAGGGGATAAGGAAGAAAGAAGAGGCAAAGAAAAAAAAAGAGAAAAAAAAAGAAAAAGAGGAGTGCAAAAATGAAATTGGGAAAAGGAAAAAAAAAAGTAAGAGAGAAAAGAAAGAGAATGAAATAGAAGAGGGGAAGAAACTATTTATATGTGGAGAAAACTCCAATAGAACAGACACTAATCCCAGCAAATTCCAGCAACAGAATGCAAACTACAAACAACAATTGATATCAAGAGATGCGAGGGAAAACAGGAGCAAAAATAAAATAAAATAAAATAACCAGAAAAGAAAAACAAAAACAAACAAACAGAAAAATAGAAAGAGAAAGCAAAACAATCTCACAAACAAGCATAAAAACCCCCCACAATATACTGAACAATCAAGTAAACAACAACCGAATGACAGAGAGAAAAAAAATTTGGATAGTGAAGAAAGAGAAGAGAGAGGTGTATATGGATTTAGAGCAGGGGATTGGAAATTAGATATATGAGTAGGGTGAAATTTTAACGGGGTAAAAAGAAGGAATAGGGAAAATCTAAAGCAGGAATAGGGTAAGAGAAACAGGACAACAAAAGGGGAAAAGTGAGGAAGAGAGTTTTGGTGTAAAGGTAAAGTTGAGGTAGAGTAAAATGATGCTAAAGGAAAGATGAAAATAGAATTTAGAACACTAATCCCAAAATAAGATAAAGAGAAAATATAATGACACTTTAAAAAAAGGTAAAATGGTAGTAGTAATAATACTGGTTAAAAATAGAAATGTAGTAATTAAAAAGGTAAAATCAGGTGATGAAAAAAGAAAAAAAATTAGTTTCTTAAGTAAAAGGTGAAAAAAATAAAATAAAATGTGCAGTAGTGAAGGTCCTTCAGTTCCTCTACTCTTCTGTTTGACACACCTTAGTCCTGTCAGGTATTCAGGAGAGTGTTGAAGTTCCCTGCGATACACTGTTCCTCTATGTTGTAGACCACTGTCCTGATTTTAAAGCAGGCCGTATTTGTTTCCCAGACTGCCTTTATTTGTGTTACAGAAGAGTCAGTTTGTGTTTCAGCCTCTGGGTGGCAGTGTTTCTGGATTGACCTCCGAGGCTATAAGTCCTCTCTAGCCAGTAGTTTGGGAGAGCTGTTTCTGCCACAGAGCTGTTTCTTTGATTGTTACTCCCAGCTCTGATTCCCAGGTTCCACAAAAACAACTTTTCCCTGCAGTCTCTGCGAGTGACCCCAATTGGGCGATCCTATGTATTGGGTTTAATAACCAAACTCAAAGATTTAAGGGGGAGAGAGAAAAAAAAGGCCTGAGGAGGTGCGTGAGCTCTCGCAACCCTCCACTGTCCAGCTCTGTGTGCAGTCTCTTCTGCACGTCCTCTCTCCCCTGGCACTAAGCAGCTGGTACACTGGCAAAATCCGAGGCTGCCTTTTTGCACCCAATCCATCTATGGGCTTATTTTTAGCGTTCCCTTCTGGTGGCAACCCTGTGAGACCCCTTCTGCACTCGTGGATCACGCTGGCCCCAAGGCCGTGGACCTCATGGGGCGCAGACTATCCCCCATGCGCGTTCCTCTCTCCAACATGAATTGCAAACCGCACCCTTATCAAGGCGAAATCTGACCTTCTGTGAGGAGGAGCAGGGCTCCTCTGAGTCCACGTATTGGCGCTGCTTTAGATCCAGTGTTTCTGGGTCAGTAGCCAATTCCTGGATGCCATGGTTGCCGGGTCTTTGGATGTACACGCTTCCGAAAACAGCCACTCAAGATGGCGTGAGCTCCGCGGCTGAGCCAGCCGTTCCGGGAGAGTTTTCAGCCGCAGTCTCCAACAGTCCCCTTTCTACGGGAGTCCTCTGCCTTTCCCAGCTGCAAACTGTCTCCCAGCTGAATTTCCTCTGCCTATTCGGGCTAGATGTTACTTGGTTCAGCTGCTCACCCTATCTGCTCCGGGACAAGGCATGGGACACGTCTGTTTATACCACCGCCATTTCCCCCCCCCCCCCCCCCCCCGGTCTTGGGCCTTTTATTGATAGGTTTAGGGTATGCTGTCACCAGCTGCAGCTTGTTTGACAGATTTTAGCAAAATCTGAAGCCTGAGCCAGGACAGACCATTCATATGGAAAAGCTGTTGTGAACAGCTTGGGTGGGGCTGTAAATTGGGTTGGGTGGGATCTCAGGGAATCCCCAGGGTGGAGCAAACTGTGTGCTTCAGGCTGATTGGGACTCAGCTATGGATTCCAGTCATCCCTGTGACAGGGGACGTTCAATCCCAGGAACAATGACCCTTGCTAGCACCCCTGTCTGGGAGAAAGCCACCTCTGAGTTTCTGTCCCGATGCCAAACAATGGACCATGTAAGTTTGTGTGATGGCCCTTTAAGAGGAGCACCTGGGACTTCAGCAGCCTCCTTGTCACTCAACCACAATCTCTGCTGGTTTTTACTGCCCAAAGTTACAGGGACTTCTCTTCCTAGGTCTGGAACCCTGGGCTGGGGGTTTGGGGTGGGCTGGGACCCCTTATCCTCAAGGGCAGCCTCCATACAAACAATCTCCCTCCCAATTATAAAAACAGCACACTTGGGTGTTGGACCAGCCTGTTCCATGCCTCCACCCCTCCTACCCTCCTACTAATCTCAGTGTGCTTTCTTTACCTTTCTAGTTGTGTGACTTCCATTCAGTTAGTTTTCAGGCAGTTCTTTTTTTGTTTTTTAATCTTTTTTATTCAGGCGGTTCTGAATGATGGTTGTTCTGTATTTTAGTTGTAATTTTGATGTGGCTGTGGGAGGAAGTGAGTACAGGCATTTACCTACTCTGCCATATTGGTTCTCCTGACAGTATTTTTTATTTATTGATATTTTTTTAAGGCAAGGAGAGAGAAAGAGGGAGAGAGAAACATCAATTTGTTGTTCCACTTATTTATGCATTCATTGGTTGACTCTTGTATGTAGCCTGACCAAGGATGGAACCGCAACCATGGTGTATGGGGACTGAGCTACCTGGCCAGGGCCTTGATTAGGACCTTTTAAACATTCTTTCTTCATGTTTCTGCGTCTTTGCTTATGTTGTTCCCTCGGTCAGAATACCCTCCATACCTATCCCCACCCCTACCCCTAGCATAGAAGTGTGTATCCTTTTCTTTAAGGACCTCAAGTGCTATCTCCTGGCCTCTCTTCCAGGTAGAATTATTCATGTAGTCTTCTAATCCCCTAGTACTTCATATACAATACTATGCATTATAATAGAGGCGGCTTTAATATTTATTTTGTTTTACCAGTGAGACTTGAGTTTCTTGAGGACAAGGCCTGTGCATTATTTATCTTTTTATCTTTGTGCAGCTCCTGACATAGTGCCAGGCCTATATATAATAGGCATTTAGATGAAAGAAAAGGATAAAAATTTGCATGCATGACTATACAGTATCCTATTTGATAAAAGTGGGAAAGGTTTAAATCAGAATCACAGCACGTGTACTCTAATAGCCGGTAAAACAACAAAAAATTAATCATTTGTTATATTTACTTTGAATATATGAGAACTTGAAAGCAAACTATTAAATGCTTATGACTTATTTTAAATGAGTCATCTACAGGGTGAAAATCAGGTATTTTCTGTGATTGTATGTTTTAGCTTTTGCATTTGAAAAAGTCACACAGGGTACTAGCTAAGTAATGTTGCTTAAAATTAGATTAGGTAACAAATCGTAAACATTGCACTTATCAGTCAGACTTCTGCCAGTTACAACTGTCTGGAACATATTCAACAACCCCCGAAGGAATCCAGAAAGGTCTTTAAAGTTGGAAGAAGAAAATAGCTCTTATGAAGTTTGTGCACTTGATGTGGAGGGGTGGGGGAGGCATAGTGCCACTCACATACCAAGACCTACTTACTGACTTTGAAATTTCATAGAAAACTCCATGGACAGTTTGGATATTCGACTTCCCTTCCAGACATTTTTGCTTATCTTGGGTTTCGGTAGAAAAAAAGATGAAAATAACTCTGCCATCCATGCTTCCTGAAGGCACTATAGTATTGTTGAGATGAGTGTGAAAGTGATTCTCATGTTTTTCTTCCATAAACCATGGAAACTTACTTTGTCCTATATTTTTTTTTGTTCTATGTATTTTTTAGTTTTTAAGACTTTTGATTGGCTCACATAAAGTTGGTAGAGGGAATACTTACTTTATTCTACTTTATTTAAAAATCTGAGGTTTAAAAGAGTGGTCTTTTTGATATCTCTTTGAAAGGGGGTGATTAAATTGAGGTACAAAGCCTTTATTCCCTCATTCAGGTATTAATGTTATTTATTGTAGGTTGAAACCTTGAATGTGAAAGGAATATGTATAAATTTCTTTGCTTAGTTAGCTAAAAGCTGTATAAGTAAGCCTAGAGGAAAAGTCAAAAGGCTTGTTTAAATGATTTGGGGGTCTATTTTAATGCATGCTAAACATGCTTTTTCATGGTGGGACAACAAATGAAAACAGGTATCATTCAGTTTTCTTTCTCTCTTCTCTTTCTAGATTGCCAAAATGCTTTGGAATTTTTAACTGACTTTAAGGAAAGTCCAAAATAGATTTGAGACTGTGAAAAAAGCTGCAGCAAGGGGGATTCAGTGCCAATGCATCAACAAAAAAAACAGCAAGATTTAGTGGAAGGAAATCTTCCTGTTTTTGTGTTTCCCACGGAGCTAATATTTTATGCAGATGACCAGTCAACACATAAGCAAGTGTTGACTTTATATAACCCCTATGAGTTTGCCTTAAAGTTCAAAGGTGAGTCTCCTAGGTCTATTTGATGGATTAAACTAGTCCCTACTAATTTTTTACTTGTAGAAACTAATTTTTTAAAAACACTAATGGTCATTGTGACTTTTTCTTTCAGTTTTGTGTACTACTCCAAATAAGTATGTTGTCGTTGATGCTGCAGGTGCAGTAAAGCCTCAGTGTTGTGTGGATATGTAAGTCCCAATCACTTCCTGGTAACATGTTTTAAATGTGTTAATATTTATATGTTTAACTTGAAAAGGTTTTTTCTTGAAGCTATTCCCACATAGGCATTTATTATACTTTGAATTTTTGCTGAAAGTTTTAGTCTATCAAAATTCTTGGAGAGGTAGTAAAGGGTAAAGGGAGTCAAATATATGGTAATGGAAGAAAATTTGACTTTGGGTGATACTCACACAATGCAATATACAATTGAAGTATTATAGAATTATATACTTGAAACCTATATAATTTTATTAACCAGTGTCACACCAATAAGTTGAATTAGAAAGAAAAAATTCTTGTTAAGTTGCTAATAGATTCTAAATAGGTCAAACAAATACTTAATAATATTTAATTATATTATAACTGATGTGTGTTAATATTTCTGTGAACATTTCCTCATTGTTGTGCTTTTAGTTATAATGGACATTTATGAAGGTAAAGTTCTAACTTATTCCTTTAAATTTCTCTAGCTATAATAAGAAATTTAACTTTCTTTGGAACATCTTGCTATTATAGTGAAATTTGGGAAACTAATAATACTACACTCTCAGAATAATGGTAATATAAGTTCATCCAAAATGATTCAGCTAATAAGCTTTAAAGTTAATCTATACAAACAGGAAGCAAGTGCATAACTACTCATCTATAAAAGGTTATCTGAGCTCTTCTAGATAATTTCTTCTTAGAGTGCCAGATAAATGACTGGTTGTTCAGGCTGTTCATACTTAATTTTCACTTTAGAACTGGTGATGACCAGATGGATCCATTGACCAGCCGTTAATTTAAGCCACCCAGTAAGCTGTATTTGTTTAAATTTTCTGGGAGAATGAGAAGCAGAAGTCTTTTCTTTTTAATAGATTTACAGCATTAAAATTATGTATCTTTAAGAATGTGTTTTTGCACACTTCCTTTGATTTTCATTCAATACAAAATAAGCAAGGACTATTCCAAAGAAATGTAGTTTCTAGCCAAATAAATGTGCTATCTTTACCTAATTGTTCTGTGTTCTCTATTAAGAAGAAAGTAAAGAAAAAGAACAAAGTAAAATATATGGAACTTCAGATAACTCATAAAAATTGAAGTGCTTTATACTCTTTTCAGAGAGGTACAGAAGTGTATTGTTAGCCTTCTGTTGGATTGGTCAGACTGAATTACTCATGCAAATGCTTATTTTTATCTGCATTCATGGATTTCAGATTTTAAGTCTAGGGTGAGGTTTGTAAAATGTGTTAATATTTTTGAACAACAAGTGGCAATAGAAAATTTATGACACTTTTGTGGAGGAAGAAACAATTTAGTATATCTTATTTAGTAAATATTAATATATACAGATATCCAGAAAAAGTCATTGCCAAAAGGAGTTTTCTTTGCCCATCATTTTTTTTTTAAAGCCCACAACCCGGGCATGTGCCCTCGACCTGAATTGAACCCAGTACCTTTCAGTTTGCAGGCCAATGTTCTATCCACTGAGCCAAACCGGCTAGAGCTGCCCATCATATTTTACTTTTATTCTCTGTTTTAGAGTATGTGCTTTCATCAAATATTTCAGCAGCACCCATTTCCTTTTGGGTTATACTGTGATTTTTTTTTAAAGCATCATTAGCAAATCTCTGTATTTGAATATTTGGTTATAATCAGTTAATATTATTTTAATGTATGAAATCTCTTGCTGAATTCTGTTTGACAGCCACCCCCCTCAAAACCTAAACAGCATTTGTTATTTTTAAATGTTTTCAGTGTGATTCGTCATAAAGATGTTCGATCCTGTCACTATGGAGTAATGGACAAATTCCGTCTCCAAGTTTCTGAACAAAGCCAGAGGAAGGCTTTAGGAAGGAAAGAGGTTGTGGCCACTCTTCTCCCTTCTGCAAAAGAGCAACAAAAGGAAGAAGAGGAAAAAAGAATAAAGGAACCATTAAGTGATAGCTTATTTTTTGAGCAGTCATTTCAACCAGGTAATTTTGGGTGGTTTTTAAAGCTCTTTTGTGGTCTTACACATTTCTAACTTTAAAATAATTAGGGAGCTAAAAATAATTACTAGAAAAATAATCTGTTTCTTTAAAATTAATCAACTACTTTTGAAACAGAACCTAAAAATCAGGTACCTAAAATCGAGCCGAGGCCTAGAGCTGGACTTTCAGAGGAGAGGACTAAAGGATGCTGTAAGGAGAAGGCAAATGTTGCCATAACCTTTAAATCTATAAAACCTGAGAATGCAGGCACTGTACTTTATAATGCTATCACAATTTGGCAATTATATACTTTTGTTTCTGTGACTGTTCTATATCCTTTCTCATTTGATTAGTTCAAAGAAGGAGAGAGAGATTGTGTTTGGCAATAGTCCAAGCTTGGTGCACTGTTCATATTATTTTTGGAAAAAAAAGTCATTAAAGTTGAAGTTAATTAAACTAAGTAGATTATAATATCCCCTGTGAGCTATTGATTCAATCCCTCTCTATTCCTCATTTCCTTCCAGCTTAAATATATAGACATGTTATGATGTATTATTTCAACATTGACAGTATCCTCATCTTCAACTCTTTGGATATCTGTCCCTCTCCTTCTTAATTTCTCATTATCTCCCTCCAACCCTATTAAAAGAGGAGGTAGATAAATTTTCCATAGAAAAGCATGGGAACTTTTTGATAGTGATATATAAATGTGATAGCAGCTGCCCTTGAAATTGTCACATAAAGTCTAGTTGTCATTATATTAATTCATAGATTCCCTATCAGTCTGTTCATCTTAGCATGTTTATTTTGATAACACAGGGAATAATGCCTCTTTGATTTACTGTAGGCAAGGCTTCTGTCTGTGTAGGGAGTGCCCAGATTTTCTGGTGATAGCAAAACTAGGGACTGGGTAGTAGCTAGTAGATTGATTTCTTCTCAGCAACTGTTATTGACTGACAGGACCAGCTTTTCTTATTTTGAAGCTGACAGAGACCCTTTGTCAAATGACACTTTGACCTCAGATTAATATTAATATATATATATATATATATATTTTTTTTTTTTTTACCAAAACGCTTTTATTTACACACGAGTCACCGCGGACGACGCGGACCCTCACCTGCTGAGTGCACCTGCGCAAGGAGCACACCTCTCCCAGGGTAAACGGAGGCAGCAGGTGGGGCCTGGGCAGGGGCACCCTCTGCCCGGGGTCCCAGTACAGTGGCCTGTCCACTGTTAAACACGCAGGAGTCCTCAGAGGGCCAGGCTGACCAGCAACGCTGCTAACCTGTGCCCCACGCCAGCTGCCCGGCCCCATGGCGAGCAGGGGGCTCCCCTCACTGTGCCCGCAGGCCCCACAGTGCACACCCGCGCGAGGCAGAGCTCACAGCCCGAACGGTCCGTGCCCACGCACACGACTGTCGGGTCAGAGTGGGCTGAGGCGTGGAGGAGGCACCTGTCCAGGGGACCACCCTGGGCATCAGCTCAGCCACCACCCGCCCAATATTAATATTAAGTCAACTTATAAATATTTATGATATTCAAGATTCCCCTTTCACAATGCCTTCTCTAGAACAAGAAAGGCCATAAAATGAATATTTGTTTTTTATGTTAAATTCATAATTTAAATCAATTGCCACTATATTTTGAATTTAATTTTAAAATGTCTGCTGCTTGTGTCTGTAGATGCTTATGGCATACAAATGGTTAAAAAAGTGATCATTGGAGCTCATTTGTAATTAATAGACTAGTTTAATAGCCAAGAATAAGAGTTAAAAGTTTAGTTGTATTTTATCCTCTTTTATTTTTATTTTTAAATATATTTTTATTGATTTCAGAGAGGAAGGGAGAGGGAGAGAGAGATAGAAACATCAATAATGAGAGAGAATCCTTTTTTTTATTTTTAGCAATTTTTATTTTATTTTTATTTTTTTAATTAAATCTTTATTGTTCAGATTATTACATTTGTTCCTCTTTTTTCCCCCATAACTCCCCTCCTCCCAGTTCCCGCCCCACCCTCCGCCCTCACTCCCCACCCACTGTCCTCATCCATAGGTGCACGATTTTTGTCCAGTCTCCTCCTGCACCCCCCACACCCCCCTCCCCCCCAAGAATAGTCAGTCCATTCCATTTCTATGTCCCTGATTCTATTATGATCACCAGATTATTTATTCACTTGATTCTTAGATTCACTTGTTGATAGATGCATGTTTGTTGTTCATAATTTGTATCTTTACCTTTTTCTTCTTCTTCCTCTTCTTAAAGGGTACCTTTCAGCATTTCATATAATACTGGTTTGGTGGTGATGAACTCCTTTAGCTTTTCCTTTCTGTGAAGCTCTTTATCTGACCTTCAGTTCTGAATGATAGCTTTGCTGGATAAAGTAATCTTGGTTGTAGGTTCTTGGTATTCATCACTTTGAATATTTCTTGCCACTCCCTTCTGGCCTGCAAAGTTTCTGTTGAGAAATCAGCTGACAGTCGTATGGGTATTCCCTTGTAGGTAACTGAGTTTCTTTCTCTTGCTCCTTTTAGAGTCTCTCTTTGTCATTTGCTCTTGGCATTTTAATTATGATGTGTCTTGGTGTGGTCCTCTTTGGATTCCTTTTGTTTGGGGTTCTCTGTGCTTCCTGGACCTGTAAGTCTATTTCTTTCACCAGGTAGGGGAAGTTTTCTGTCATTATTTCTTCAAATAGGTTTTCAATATCTTGCTCTCTCTCATCTTCTGGCACCCCTATAATTCTGATGTTGGTACGCTTGAAACTGTCCCAGAGGCTCCTTACACTATCTTCGTATTTTTGGATTCTTTTTTCATTTTGCTTTTCTGGTTGGGTGTTTTTTGCTTCTTCGCATTTCAAATCATTGACTTGATTCTTGCGCTCCTCTGGTCTGCTGTTGGGAGTCTGTATAGTATTCGTTATTTCAGTCAGTGTATGCTTAATTTCTAGTTGGTTCCCCAATATAACATCGAGGGTCTCATTAGTTTTCTTGAGGATCTCACTACATTTATCGGTGGCTTCTAGACAGTTCTTAAGAGACCTTAAAAGTGTGGTTCTGAACTCAATATCCTCCATTGACAGTTTTGTCCTGTTTCTTTGTCTCTGCATTTTTTATGCTTTCTTGGTGCACCCCCTAGTGGTCTTTGTGCGCAGTCTTGTTGTAGTTAAGCCTTGATTGTTGTCGGCAATACCGGGGGTGATTTGACCTCCAGGCTAACTGGCTATGAGAGTCCGCTGTGTCTGCAGTGGGAGAGCTTCTGTGCTAGATCTCTAGGGCGGTGCTAATCTAGCGTTTGCCTGAGGCTATCCGGCAAATGGCTCTGTGCAGGGCTTGGGTGGGGGCGGGTCCCCGGGGATCTACAGGGCGGGCTGGAGCGAGCAGTTATGGCTGCTTTCAGTTCCGTCCCTAGGGGCTCTGCCTCACAGAGTCCCAGCAACTGCTGCAAACCTCGGAGAGAAAGCTGCCTTCGAGTTCCGACCGAAGCCAGACAGTCCCGCTTCTCCCTTTTGAGTCTGGGTCCCTAGAGACTCGCCCGGATCTGGAGCTCAGACTCTGAGACTCCCTCCCGATTGAAAACAACAACCGCGTCCTCGCCGCCAGCCCGCTCCGCTCGCACTCCGCACCTCAGTATTTCACTTCAGCACTGCGCCTCCTCTGAGTCTGGGTATGATATTCTCTTTCCTCCTAGTTGGAGAATTTCCACTCAGCCAGCCTTCCTGTGGTTCTGGGTGATATCCGTTACGTCGTTTAGTTGTTTTTTGAAGTGGTTGTTCGAAGCAGCAATCTCCGGCGTTAACCTATACCGCCATCTTGGTTTCGTCCTCCAATAATGAGAGAGAATCCTTGATCAGCTGCCTCCTGAATGCCCCCTAATGGGGATTGAGCCCACAACCTGGGTATGTGCCCTTGACCGGAATCGAACCCGGGACCCTTCAGTTCGCAGGCTGATGCTCTATCAACTGAGCCAAACCAGCTAGGGCTATCCTCTTTTATTTTTTATTTTATTTTTTAAATTAAATCTTTATTGTTCATATTATTACAGTTGTTCCTCTTTTTTCCCCCCATAACTCCCCTCCACCCAGTTCCCACCCCACCCTCCGCCCTCACTCCCCCCCCACTGTCCTCATCCATAGGTGTACGATTTTTGTCCAGTCTCTTCCCACTCCCCCCACACCTCTTTCCCCGCAAGAATTGTCAGTCCATTCCCTTTCTATGCCCCTGATTCTATTATATTCACTAGTTAATTGTGTTCATCAGATTTTTTATTCACGTGATTTTTAGATTCACTTAATAGATGTGTATTTGTTGTTCATAATTTGTATCTTTACCTTTCTCTTCTTTTTCCTCTTCTTAAAGAATACCTTTCAGCATTTCATATAATACTGGTTTGGTGGTGATGAACTCCTTTAGCTTTTTCTTATCTGTGAAGCTCTTTATCTGACCTTCAATTCTGAATGATAGCTTTGCTGGGTAAAGTAATCTTGGTTGTAGGTTCTTGGTATTCATCACTTTGAATATGTCTTGCCACTCCCTTCTGGCCTGCATAGTTTCTGTTGAGAAATCAGCTGACAGTTGTATGGGTACTCCCTTGTAGGTAACTGACTGTTTTTCTCTTGCTGCTTTTAAGATTCTCTCTTTGTCTTTTGCTCTTGGCATTTTAATTATGATGTGTCTTGGTGTGGTCCTCTTTGGATTCCTTTTGTTTGGGGTTCTCTGCACTTCCTGGACTTGTAAGTCTATTTCTTTCACCAGGTAGGGGAAGTTTTCTGTCATTATTTCTTCAAATAGGTTTTCAATATCTTGCTCTCTCTCTTCTTCTGGCACCCCTATAATTCAGATGTTGGTTCGCTTGAAGTTGTCCCAGAGGCTCCTTATACTATCTTCATATTTTTGGATTCTTTTTTCTTTTTGCTTTTCTGGTTGGGTGCTTTTTACTTCTTCGTATTTCAGATCTTTGACTTGATTCTTTTGATCCTCTAGTCTGCTGTTGGATCTATGTATAAT